CTCCTCCTTGGTCCTGCCTCCTTGTTATCTGCTCCACCTGCCTGTAGCTCCACCCCCTCATTAGTCCCAGGTGTGTCTTGTTGGCCCTCAGTGTATTTATACCCCTGTGTTTGTCCAGTCTCCTGGTCTTGCATTGTGGATGTTACCCTGTCACTTGTTTTCTTAACTAAACAGGACATAATCAAAACACGTTGAGAGCCGTTCTTGGTTTCAAGTGGCCAGCTGGACAAAATTTCCGCAAAGGCACAGAAGCTGTTTGTCCAGGAAGTCACCAAACGTTTGAGGAGAACATCCAATGAACTGCAGGAACTGCATGCAACCTACAGAAGAACAGAACACCAGCTGCGCTTCGGACCCCTTCCCTGGTCGGGTGAGTCTGACGATTGCGAGCACAATGAAAGGATATTCAAAGATAACTCAGTCAGCACTCGCTGAGCGACGTGTCTTCTGATAAGATAAGCTTCTGTAAGAGTGAAGTAGCTGGTCATTGTGATTTCCCGTCTCTGATTTATATCGTACGCGGCTGCAGAAAACACTTCATAAACACAGTATTGTTGGCCAGTGGTTCACATGATTTTATTGTGGCTTACAAAAATCTCACTATATTAAATGTCCAGTATCACTTTGACTGGTGGTTACATGTTGGTACATATGATAAAACCATAAAACATTTACACAAAAGACTTAGACAACTTTATACAATAAGCCAATTTATGTACATGTTCACAAAGTTTTGACACGCACAAAATAACTATGTAGAGTATTTACAGTTTTCACAGTACAACACTGACATCTGACACACTGCACAAAATCACAACACACACCAGGAACAGGACTGATGAACAGACATTCTCTGAAACTGCCTAAATCCAAGCCACCTTTACTGGGTTAACTGCAGTCTTTTTCTTAATCCAGTTTAGCGTCACTACAATGTAATCTGAGTCTTTGAATATGTTAAATATATTCACAATTCTGCAGAATTTACCTTTAAGTCATTGAGAGTGGTTTGATGTGAAATGCACCATTTTAGAGAAACTGAATCAGAATTATTCACAGCGGTTCTAATGAAATCATAGAAATCATGTAGAAAATTACATGAATATGGCGCCTCATGTCTGAGAGAGAGTTTTGTGATAAAGCTTTGGCCTAAAACATATTTTTAAAATCCATTCAGGGTGGAGAGGTACAGATCGTTATAATGCAAAACAAAGCATATTTTTTCAGATTAACCATTATTTTGCCATTATCAACATTACTATACTGTCTGTTTGCCTATAATGGCCATATTTGCATTGTAGACATTGTTCCTGTAACCACTGTTAAGAAATCCATATTGGTAGGCTTCCCTACAATGCATTTCACTTCAAACCACTCTGAATAACTTTGTTTCAATCTTTTATCTTTTAATCTGTTTTGATGGTGCAGCAAAATGACCCCAGAAAGGAATGGTGGTCTACTTTGGTTTGATTTTCAAGTTTTTACCATATAATATTGTGAGATGAGCTCAGAAGCAGGTGTGGATGAAGAAACTGAAGACATGTATGGAATCCATAAATAAACTGAATGTACTGTAGGAACTCAGTCAATAAGGCTGAACCTTCTAAGTCCAGCTTTAATCAATATAAGACAAAACACAAAACTATTCTCCGGCCAGCTCTGTGCGTCCAGCGTGTCCAAAAGGTCAAGTCCACTGCCATCCAGTCCTCAGACTTTCACACACAGAATGTAGCTCCAGCAGAACGAAGAGATGAACGTAGCTTATACTCTGCTGGGTTTTCGATCATCTCCTACATACATTCACCGATTTTCTGCCAAGCACTGTTAACCCAGGTCCTCATGCTCACCAACCCACAAGTATTATCAAAAATATACTAATTTATGTGTTGGTCCATCTTTCGTTTGATCATTTGTTCGTCATGGCTTTATAGGCTAAAATATTTACATTTAAAATATATACATTTTATCAAAAGTGACAAAATATAGACTATAATGAAGATATTCCAGCAGGACTGTGAGAGACTGGCAGTCTTCATTAGGCTTGAGAGAGCAGAGCGGGAAAAAGCACCCATGCAAGCGTGCCTGGCTTCATTAGACGAATGTACACATAGACGCCTCTGGCAACATTTTTTACAGTGCGGACCACCACGACATTTCATCAAAACACTTCAAAGCAGGCCTTAAAACACAACAACTACATGGCAGGTAGGCTGTGATCTGTGAGGTTTTTTCCAGAATTGTTTTTTTTTTTAAATGTATGATTTCATAATCTGCGATGGACTGGCGACCTGTCCAGGGTGTATCCTGCCTTCCGCCCAATGACAGCTGGGATAGGCTCCAGCACCCCACCGCGACCCAGAAGGATAAGCGGTTTAGATGATGGATGGATGGATGGATGATTTCATAATCTCCATAAAGTGTGACTGCGAGAGCATTTTAGGCAAAAGATCCTAACTGTCATGGTTCGTTCAGATATGGCGACTGCTGTGGTTTGAACAAAGATGCTAAGGTTGCTAATAGGCATATTAAAGGGGAATCCCACAGAATTTAACATTCTGCAAAGTTCAGTCGGTGAGATGTAAACAGAGTTGTTCAGAGTGGTCTGATGTGAAATGCTCTGTTCTGGAAAGCTTAGATTTCTTAATATACTTAGCGTATATTTACGTGCGCAAATCTTAAGGCAAGTTATTCAGTAACAGCATGAAATAAATGTAAAGTGTTTTTTTTTTTTTGTAAAAGCTCCCCTCAAATTAACAGAATGTGTTTTCTGATCATAAACATAATGCCATATGCTTACATATGCTTTACTGCTGAAAGCCAAAAATCTTAGACGCTCTTTGTATTAGCTTATAAAAATAATTTTTACAGAGCAGATCACTGAAGAGACGCCATCTGAGATCCAGTTTATGGTTCAGATTTGTGGAAAAATGGGTCGACTTTCAGTAAAAGTCTCACATTACGCCCACCTTTTGAATGTAGCTTATGAAATATTGAAGTTATGACAAAGAATATGACGAGGTGCGTTTTGGAACATTTGGAAGTTAAAGAGGTTAAACCGGCCGTGTCTACAACTCAAATATAGCTATTTTAAAAACATTTTAAGCCAAAACCTTCTCTCAAAACTACCGTTACACAATGTCTTGGGTGTCAGGTGACATTCATGACTATTTTGTGTAAACATTTTCTGTGATGTAGCTTTTAGAGGCACTAAAGACGTCTGGTTTCATCACCACTGCTGAGAACAATTCAACTTTGTTTCTCTAGAACAGAGCATTTCACACCAAACCGCTCTGAATGACTCTGTTTACATCTTAACCATTTAATTATGCATCATTATTTTTTTTTAAACAGTGGAATTCACTTGTATTAGTTAACTATTTTGCTGTTTAGGGCAATTCAGCCTGGTTCTATAATGTGTGCTGACTACTATGTTGCCAACTGACTAAGTTGCACTTCTTATTAAGATTAAGATTAAGTGACCCTTATTAGTCCCATACCGGGGAAATTTCACCTCCACATTTAACCAATCTGTGCAGTGAAACACCACGTACACACTAGTGAACAGACACACACTAGGGGGCAGTGAGCACACCTGCACAGAGTGGTGGGCAGCCCTATCCACAGCGCCCGGGGAGCATTTGGGGGTTAGGTGTCTTGCTCAAGGGCACTTCAGTCACGTACTGTCAGCTTAGGGGATCGAACCGGCGACCTTCTGGTCACAGGGCTGGTTCCCTAACATCCAGCCCATGACTGCCCTCTGTATCCCCCCTTATTAGCATCATTAGCATCCTTTGGCCAACCCCCTATAATGGAATATTGCAGGAGCTTGGCAGCACCGGGCCACGCACTGGAATGTGGTATTTGTAACTGCTGTAAGTCGCGGCAGTGTGGAGGCACCGAGAGCAGAGATGGGAATCCTGCTCAGGGAACATAAGGATAGAAATCTGTATATCAGCACTCGCACAAGTTTGGCTTTCTGTAGTTTGACTGAGCGGAAGTAACAATCAGCTAAGGCTTCAGGCTTCGCATGAGTTAGCATAAGAATTACCCAACTGTTCTGTCCTACAGTGAAACTTTCAGATAACAGATTTTTGACACGCATCCCCAACATTTAAACACTTCTCATTCTCTTGGGTGAAGGTTTGTAGGTATTTTACAAAGGACATAGATTCAATAACACTTCTCAAAGTTAGAAAAAAAATGAAGGCTAAGAAAGTTAGCTTTCTCAGCTTTTCCAGTAGCAGCCAAGTGGCGAAAACTGAGGAGGCTAAAACCACTTTCTTCTTCAAGCACTGTTGCACCATCGCAAAAGATGTTGGTATTGAGATCTCGGACAAATACCGTATTGACGTGGACGCGGGCTTTGTCCCAGCTTAATAGCGTAATGCTTTAGTTTGGCAGACTTTGTCATTGATTGGAGAGGCAGAGACAACACAAGAATGGATCAGCAAGGGCATAATAAACCCAGTCCCAATTGTTTTCACAGTAGTCGCATCAATACCCATCTTTTACCCTTCGCGCCCACAGGCAGGCAATTAGAGTACATTCCTGCTGCGATGTGTGAGTTCACTGAAACCGAGGCAAAAGCTGCCAAGTCACAACAGAACACTTAAGATACCAGGAAAGCCAACAGCAAGTTATACTTCATTTGGTTTCTTGTTTAGAAGTGAAGAAAACAGCTCATGATGCAGTGTTGCCTCTTACAACCCACTGTAGGGAGGTCACGTTATTACCAAAGTCGGATATGACATAAAATAGAACGTAAAATATCCTTTTAACATCTCTGTGCGCTCCCAAACGCTATGCACTGCTCATTATGGAAGCAGGGTAAAGATGAGGTTAAGATATAAATGGACTGCATACTGATTAGTTAAGCATAGTGATGAAAAATGTTGGTAATAAAAGACATTAATCAACTCTGGGGCTCATCCATAAGGTTCAGACACCAGGTCTGACATGGAATGATTGACAAAATGATGCATAAGGGATGAATTTGCACAGTGTTTTTATGTCCAGATGGACTCTCCACAAAACCTTTTTGGACAGGCAGCCTGTAGGACAGCCTTTACTAGGATTGTGTGGTGATATTAGTCCATGGGGTCTTGGCACAGGGTGCAGTAGGCCATGTCCTCACAGTAGGGCTCTACCTGGATGGTGGTGCTGTAGAAGCCAAACTTGGTCTGCAGGAGCTCCGTGGCTTCCTTCAGGACACTCTGAGGATCTGCGTTCTCCTCTAATGAAACATAAAAAACATCTTGTTTAATTATTTCTTACACATTTCAAATATTCTTAAATGAACAGTTTGTACTGGAGCTTTGAGAGTAATGTAGCTAACATAATGTAGGGTAAATAATAGACTAGCGTTTTGCAGACTACATTCCTAAATCAGTGGTTCTTAACTCTGGTGAGCTCTACTGAACAGGTTTTATACACTGCTTTTTGTGTTTATTAATAGGCTGAACACCAGTTTAACACAGTTTATTGGACAAAGCTAGCTTGTATCTAATAGGTACTAACTAGGTGAACTTGGTGTTTTGATTATAAATCGTAAACAATCTGTCTCTGCACAGTTCATCAGCCACTCTACGCTCTCCATCAGTGAAAAGGACCACCATAAGACCATCACTGATCATATATTTGTATGCAAAAGTTTGGGAACCCCTGGCAAAATTACATATTTTTTTATTTTTGAAGTTAAAGGAGGTAAACACAACCTCTAGAGCAAACTATTTTAAAAAACAACTTTTCTTTTCTGCAAATGTTGATGCACCTTTACTTTGTATTTGTTAAAACAGAGAAAAACGTATTTGTAGCTTGTGCAAAAGTTTGGACACGCTTCCAGCTGTAGATACTCAGACCTTAATTAACTCGAGGCCTTAATTGAGCTCATTAAGATAGGTTAGGCAGGTCAAGAATTATCATTAGGAAATGTCCATTCCTAATGAACGATCCAGAGCATAATACATTCTCTGGCTCTTCAAACTTTGTGCTAACACTCAACAAGCTTGGGCTCCTCTTAACAGCTGGGCATCTATAAATGAAGCTATTTAGCAAAATAAATGAAGCCGAATAAATAAACATGAAATTTGGATAAGGGTGTCCAAACATTTACATACATCTGTAAATTGGTATATCAGTAATACCAACATGGTGGTTGGTATGTTAGTGTGTGTGTAGCAGGTACAGTGATGCTGCACCAACCAAAAATATCCAGCCAAAACTGGCCCTAAGTTCAGAAACTGACCACAGGTGACGGACTAGAGAATGACTAATACAAACTGTGGACAGAAAAAGATGAGGAGCATTAACTGTACACATACATGATGTACCAACAAACTAGGTGCGTCTAATGTAGGTCTGGTGGTACTCAAGCCCAATCATGGAGGCCCTGCCCTGCTCACTGCAGTGTTTCCTTATTATAACATCATTTCTAAGGTCCCCTGTAAACAGCAGTTAAAATGAAAGTGAACTGAAGGCGTCTCACCAATGGCCACATGAACGGAAAGCAGGGTCTGGCCAACAGTCAGAGCCCACAAATGTAAACTGTGCATGGCCTTCACAGCTTTCAGGGACAGCAGCACCTCCTTCACAGAGTTAAACTCAATGCCTCTGGGTGCCCCTGAAGACAAATCACATGATGTCATGACCAGAGTTGCTGCGATTCATTTACAATCATCGCTGTAAAAATGCTGATTTGCATATTTATTGCCACCAGCACAGCATCTGAGGGCATTTTCTGAGTACATGGAAAAAGAAGCTGTGAAAATTGACTTGGACGGCTTCTAACTCCAACTTACAGGCTGAGGAGCTGCTCAATCGATATTCACAGAACCTTTTTTTCAATAAACTTTTCAGCTTGGCCACAGAGAGGCCTGCTTGTACTGGAGAAGATAAACATGCTTGGGTTTCTGGTCTGAAAACTACATGCTAACTTTGTTCTTGCTATAGTTTAATAAGTCATTTAAGCTGATGTTCATGTTTTCAAAGGAAGATGTTCCACATATGCAAGGCCACATCACACTTTATCTGTTAAGCAATTGGTACGGTTGGTCCAGTTGTCTTAGGTGAAAGTTTTTCTTAATGAAATTGTTTAGATGATGTTTACATGTTAACTAACTGCAACCTTTTACAATCCCATTTCCAACAAAGTTGGGATGCTGTGAAACATGTACATAAAAACAAAATGCAATGATTTACAAATCATGTAAACTTTATATTTAATTGAAAATAGTACAAAAACAACAAATAAAATGTTGAGAACTGAGAAATTAAAAAAAATGAAAGTTGTTTTTGGTGGTTAATTTGCAACAGGTGAGTAACATGATTGGGTATAAAGAGCATCTCAGAGAGGCGGAGTCTTTCAGAAGTAAAGATGAGGAGGGGGTCACCACTCTGAAAGACTGCACCATCAAATAGTGCAACAATTTAAGAAGAACGTTTCTCAACATAAAATAGCAAAACTTTTGCTTTTCATCATCTACGGTACAGAATATCATTAAAAGACTCAGAGAATCTGGAGAAATCTCTGTATGTAAGGGATTTGCTGGCTGTGATCTTTGGGCCCTCAGGTGGCACTGCATTAAAAACAGACATGATTCTGTAGTGGAAATCACTGCATGGGAAATCACATATAAACAGGATCCAGAAATGCTGCCACCTTCTCTGGGCCTGAGCTCATTTAAAATGGACGGAGAGGAAGTGGAAAAGTGTCCTGTGGTCCGACAAATCAAAATTTGAAATTCTTTTTGGAAATCATGGACACTGTGTCCTCCGGGCTAAAGACCACTCAGCTTGTTATCAGTGCACAGTTCAAAAGCCAGTATTCATGATGGTATAGGGGGCATTAGTGCACATGGTATGGGTGACGTGCACATCTGTGAAGGCTCCATTAATGCTGAACGAAATATACATGTTTTGGCAACATATGCTGCCATCCAGACGACGTCTTTTTCAGAGAAGGGCTTGTTTATTTTCAACACGACAATGTAAAACCACATTCTGCACATATTAACAACAGCATGGGTCTATAGTAAGAGTCCAGGTGCTAAACTGACCTGCCTGCAGTCCAGACCTGTCACCACTGAAAACATTTGGTGCATTATGAAATTAAAAATACGACAAATGAGACCCTGAACTGATGATCAGCTGAAATCCTGTATCAAACAAGAACAGAAAACATTTCACTTTCTAAACTACAGCAGTGTCTCCTCAGTTCCCAAACGCTTACAGAGTGTTGTTAAAGAAGAGGTGATGAAACACAGTGGTAAACAGGCCCCCGTCCCAACTTTTTGGGAATGTGTTGCTGGCATCAAATTCAAAATGGGCACATATTTTTTCAAAAAACAATACAATTTCTCAGTTTCAACATTTCATATGTTGTCTTTGTACTGTTTTCAATTAAATAAGGTTTTTACATGATTTGCATATCATTCAATTCTATTTTTAATTTTTATATTTTGTATCTAAAAAGCTGTCTCTATCAGTTTTACACAGTTACCACTGAGTAAAGAATTACAGTCCTAACAGAAAAACCTCCCACTGACACGGGTCTAAATGACAGATGGTGCAAACCTACCCTCCATGAGGATGCGGAACACGTCCCTGAGGATGGTAATGGTGGTCCCCAGTACGAACACGGAGAAAAGGAAGGTGCAAATGGGGTCAGCTACTTTATATTCAGGCTGCAACAGAAGCCGCAGAGAGAACAGGAGGCTATAAGGAGAACGTAATCAGATGGCATCCTCTATACTGTCATACTGCATTAGACCACAGACGCCTGAGACACAGTTTGTTGTGTAAGAGGCTTTTTTCACAGTTACTGAAGAATGCAGGTTCTGCTCCAGCTGCACAAGAACACTAGTTGAGGGCACAAGTTTGCCAGTTTATTAGACATGGTTACCTTGTACCTACACTCTGGACATTTTATCAGAAACAAATACCACCATATAGGTGCACTTTGTAGGGTTACAATTACTGACTGTAGCACATCTAATACCTCATCATTTATCAGCCACCCTCTACCCGGCCTATCAGTGTAAAGGCCACCACTGACCAGAAATCATTTGGGTGGTGGATCATTCTGAGCGCAGTGTGACTCTAACACAGTACTGGCATGTTACTGTGTGCAGTGTTGCTGGGGTTTTTACACACGTCTGTGTCAATTATGGATTAGAATAGTCTACCAACCGAAAATATCCAGCCAACAGTGGTCCTGTGTTGAGCATTGGACAAATGGTGAGAAACCTATAGATGACCATCAGAAATTGTAAATGAAAAAAGAGCTACAGTCTCTATCTGTACACCTACAATGTGTACCAACACAGAAGATGTGTCCAATAGATTGGACAGTAAGTGTCTGTGTTTACATGCAAAGATTTTTGCCAGTCTGATTGAATACATTCCAATTATAGATGAAGACTGAGGTGTTTATTCTCACTCTACTCAACAATCTGATGAAAATCTCCGTTTACATTCTCACTACAAGTAATCAGATCCAAAATTACCTGCATGCATAGAAAACTGCTTAGTGTCAACGTTACCATGATAACCAGCATCACGCGAGTCCAGTCATGCAGTCAGTCCAGAGTGAGATGAGCAGCAGTGAACAGCACTTGTGTTTTTAATTCCTTTAAAATGATGTCAGACTCAGGAAAACGTCCTTCACATGTCCTTATTAAAGAAGGCCGAGAGGAAGACGTCGTGTTCTGAGACACATAAGCTGGACGTCTGTCCCACCGCCGTCTTTTAAAGATCAGAGCATAAACTTCGTCTCCTCTGCAGACCAGTTTCTGCTCCACCATGTTGAACGGTATAAACTCTCACTATGACGTGACGAACATGCAGAACGGACTTAAACTTTCCGATAGGGAATGTAATCAGATACAGGCGTTTACACGGATATTATTCTTCTGTTTAACGGATTATTTACAGGATTACCCACCTCGATCAGTCGGACAGACATTGTGTTCTGAATGGCCTCAATCAGACTGGATTCTGATTGAGCTGTTCACATGGACGTATTCTTTTCTGATTGAGCTATTAGTCGGATTATTAATGGATTATTATGCTGCATGTAAAAGTAGCTAGTAACGGCCCTTTGGGGGTCCCTTTCTATTGATAGATGGGGTAAATGGCAAATTCTGCAGCAACAGATGACCTACAGTCAATAATTGCAAATCTACAAAGTGCACCTATATAGTAGGTAAACTGGCCAAAGAAGGCAGATGTACCTAAGAAACTGGCAACTCAGTGTATATTTCCCTATTTAAATCAGAAGAGAGAGACCCCTGTAATGAAGTGGGTGGGCTTAATATCGTAACTCTACATTTTAAGCTCATTTACCCGAAAGTAGATTATGATGGCTGCCACCATCACCCCAAGGCTCTGTAAGAGGTCGCCCAGGACATGGATAAATGCTGCTCTGACACTGGTGTTTCCATGGCTGCCCAGGAGGCTGTGGGAGTGGCCATGGCCCACAGGGCTCATTCCATTTTCGTCGATCTTGTGATAGCCTGAGCCATGACCATGGAAGGTCGTGGAGTGGTGGAGGATGTACGCCATTCTACCAAAAACAAACCCAAAATCATTGAAATCAAAAACACCGTTCATCACAAATCTAAACGTCTTCCAGGATTCTCAAGGATCTGTTTCCTAGATAAACATTTGAGCTCTGGAGCAGATATTTTTCCTGATTCTTGTCAGTTTTCCACTCACATGATGTTGACCACAACAGCACACCCTGAGGTGAGGAGCATCACCTGACCCTCGATCTCATAATCATTCTTCACAATCCTCTCAATGGCGAGGTACACCAGCACCCCAGTTACTATCCAGATGGACATTACGGATATCAGCGCCCCCAAAATCTCTGTGAACACAAGCAAAACCAGTCTGACCTAAAATACGCTGGGTAATTATTCTCTAATGAATCCAGTTTGTACATGAACACCAACAGAACTGTTCTGAGAACTGTTAAAGAAAGACTTCAAACTACTCTCCATCTGCTGCATCTGTACCGTACGGTTCGCTGTGGACAATAACTTTGTCTTTTCCTTTAATTAGTAAAAGAACAGAAAACCTGTTGTATCAAAACACTCGTATAATAGAAGTGAATGAAGGTGTTTAGGCAACTGCAGCATAATACGCTCTATTAATGCAGCGCTATGAGTGTATTGAGAGAAGGGACCGGGCATAAACGTATGTATGACATAAATGGCCCAAAACGATATAAACATACCCTGCGTAAGAACACGGTTTAGTTTAAACTCACAGTACTGAGCAAAAGTCAGAATCACCCTTCATTCATTTAATCTTTAGTCAGAACAGACATTATGTACAAGTTTGTCATTTTTAGGATCAGAAAGAAACAAACATATTTAACAAAGAATTATACAGAACCCTCAACAACTTTGTATTATATAAATTGCATAAATTGTATATAAAATGCAGGTTGATTCAAAAAGATTCATCCAATTTCAAAGTGATTTATTTCCCTTGTAAATCATTACAGATCAGTGCAGTGAACTGTAAATGGTTTAAATGAGCATAAAGTTTATTATGTAATTGTACAAGGTCTCAGTATGAACCTCCTCCAGCTGTACAGACAACATCAACGCCATAGTCAAACTCATCCCATACTGGATTGAGCGTGTCGGGTGTCGCTGCACTCACGGCTCTTTCAGTGCGATTTCGGAGATCATCCAGTGTTGTGGAACCAACGCCGAACGCTCTGAGCTGTTGGAGCTTCACTGCCCACGAAAATCACACTGCACAGTTATGACGGATTCACTCTTATTGAAGTGGAGAACGCAGAACGCTTTCTGCTCAGGGGTCTCATCTCCTCTCAGACTGAAGGAGACATCTTCCACTGACAGTCAGAAACTCTATGACCCCCTCTTTCAATTGGATTGTGATTGGTTCCTCGGCGCCTCACGGTTGTAGAAATATGGCGCTTTGAAATCGGATGAATGTTTTTTAATCACCCTGTATATTTCCTTTTCTCAGTCACAGCTTCTTGGCAGCAACACATCCTTTCAGACCCATAGCGCTGAGTGACATACAGGTCCATAAATATTTGAACAGACAGAGTTATTGTTATTTATTCTGTCTACCACAGCATATTGGAGTTGAAATTCTATATTAACATATGAGCTATATACACTCAAATAGCAGTTTCAGCTTTAATATTAGGGTATTTACATCCAATTTAGGTGAGCAGTGTAGGAATTACGATCATTTTCATACATAGTGCCTATTGATAGGGGCTCAAATGTAATTTGAAAATTGGCTGCTCACCTTTTCCATGGCTGGGTGTGTTTTTCCCTCATTATTTCACTTACAAGAAAACAGATAAAAGAGTTGATTTCAAGTGTGGCATTTGCGTTTGGAATCCGCTGCTGTTAACGGTCATTCATAAAGTCTGAAGAGCCGTCACTGCCAGTGAACCAAGCCATCATTAGGCTGAAAAATCATTATAAACCCATCAGAGAGGCAGCCAAAGCATTAGGTGTCCGTTGTTTTGAAAGATTTGCTGTAAAACTGTGACACACAAAATATATATTTGAAATTTGCTTGAATGTCTTACAAGCTGCAAGTATCCATTGGTAGATCAGTAATGCACAGCCTTTTTTGGCTTATTGCTTTAATAATAGATAGTGTTGATCTTTACAGGCCTAATAAGTGGCCATTCCATCAATAAAAAGATCTTTACACACCATCTGCGTCATTTACATTTACAGCGTTTGGCAGACGCTCTTTTCCAGAGCGACTTACAATTTGATCATTTTACTCAGGTAGGTGAAGGCAGTGTTAGGAGTCTTGCCCAAGGACTCTTATTGATGTAGTATAGGGTGTTTGAACCCCAGTCTATAGCATAGAAGACAGAAGTGTTACCCACTACACTATACTAACCAGTCATTTCAGTCTCCAGCCTACACACCCTATACATTAGTCCACTGGGTATATAATGCTTTTCATAATTCTGCTCAAGACCTTTAAAAGCACATTTCACTTTTGCCCAAAGCTCAGGTGTTTCAGCAACTGCCCATTGGCTTCTACTATAAATGTTTTCTAAGACAACATGTCTTAATTTCTACATAAAGGGAAACTATTTTGAATGGCAGTTGACCTACAGATGCAGCAGGTAGAGATTAGGTTGAAAAACACTAAATAAATACTCCTTTAAGATGCCCAGTGTTTGCCCCGCTACCTGCCCAACAAATGCAGGAGATGGCAGCAAACCGTCTGGATGAAAAACAAAATGTCATGTGTTCTTGAATCCCTTTAGTGGTGCTCACCTGATCTGTGCCAGCCAAAGTTCATGGTCTTGGTGGGAGGTCGGGAGGAGATCCAGAGGGAGAAGAGGCTGACCATCATGCTGCCAAAATCAGTTAGCAAATGGGCAGCATCTGTCATGATGGCCAGGCTGTGGGCAAGGTAGCCACCTGCAGGAGAGGAGATTATATAGGCATGTGAAAACATGAATTACATAAACCACAGCAAATAATAGACCAGAATATCAGCAGCAAACAGGCCTTAATTTGACTCAAACTCATATTTCTGTATTTGAAAGATGAAAACAGGGTTCTGTGAAAACCTGCTCACAAGTTTAAAGTGTTGACACGGAGGGAGAATCTATATATAGTATATTTTCTGACTCCATTTGTGCAAGTAAAATGTATAGTACTGAAAATTGTATTTAAAAAGCAATTTAACTGGGCAATAAACACTCAGAAAACCACTAATGTTCAAATAAATACAGTAAAATGACTGTAGTAAGAAGTGATTTTATGCATGTCACTGTGTTTGTTTAATTTTCTCTAAGCCTCCACTCAGGAGCCCAGTGTTAATTGTTATCATTCAGCACCTTTTTGGCAAATCAAATCTTCATAAAGTTAAATCAGGTGATGGAATTTAACAAATCTGTGCAGCTGGTGGCATCAATGAGCCACGAATCAAACCTGTTCTTCTAAACCAGCTCACATGACATCAGCTACTCTTATGAAAACAAAAATTTCTTATTTTTTACTTTTACTGCACGTTTTACTGTACTAATGTTTATTTGTATTTATTCTAATGTTTTAATGCTAAAACACAGATCATTATTTAACAATTTGCTTAGATGCCTAGGACTTGCCTAAGAGTGTGTGACGCTCTCCCAGTACAGTGAAAGACATTTCAAGCATAGACTTGTTCAAATGTTTTCCATTTTAATCATATTTAAAAGTCTTATAAACACATGATTAAACAGAGGAAACTGTCTATAAAGAAGTAGGATGGAGTATTATACAGTTATTGATTATAAACGGAATTTAAATTATTTTAGTCTCGCAGGCAGAAATCTAAAATATGCTCATCTTTACAAAATTCATGAGAAAAGGTTAAAAAGCAATTAAGATATTCATCAAGTTGCATAAAAAGGAGTGCAGATTTGACCATCTAACACTTTTACACTGAGTCTGATTCATGAAACCTTCGTATGATGTGGATACAAGCGGACGTTTGAGCGCAAATTATGAATCAGCTTCAGTGCATGAAATCAAGTGCCAGCATACCAGTGCCTCATTTACATATCATTTACATGAAGCACGCCCTAATTCATGGAGATTTTATAGGGATAGGGAGTCAATAAAAAGTGAGCATTCAGCGACTCATGAGCCAATGGCTGTGCTCATAGGCTGATTTTGAGACTACTGACCAAACATTCTAGCGTAAAATGATGTGATTGTGCAGTGTTTATTATTTACCTAAAATAACATTTTAACACTTTTATTGTATTATACTGTATGAGATGCGTCTGTACCAGCTGTTTTGTATTGTTTATTTACATTTTATTTACATTAGTATTAAACAAAAGTGCAGTGTCGTGTTTGAGAGTGCCATATCATGATCATGTAATTAGATGTTCTAGGTTCATCATCTCATTTAAAAGGGCAATAGTGTCTTCTTCTCTGTGTTTCTTAATGATGGAACCAGGGTAGGTTGGCCCTTATTTTGCCTAGAGATCATTTTCAGAACTCTTTCCAGCTGTTTACGGTGTAATAGTTATAGAGGATGTACAGTAGTTCCATCTAAATACTTCCTCTTAAGAGTTTCTTTTGCTTTGCTTGTGACTCTGACTCTGAGACCGTGTTGTGGAATTCTATGGAAAATGTTCTTTCAGTTTAATAAATGACTCCGGCGCTGGCTGTGGGCCCGGACTCAATACGACAATGTAAAACTCAGCTTAAAAAAAAAAAAAACGATTACAATAAAAGAGCCGCTTAATACTTCACTTGCTTTGTGTTCTGCAAAGAGAACATTTATCATGATCAAAGCAGAATTTTTTCCACTCAAGGAGAAAATCGTGTCCAAATGAGTCAGTTAAGGCCAATGAAAAATAATGGGCTGTCAAAACATATGAGTCAAAGCATTTGAAGTTTCTGGCCTTTCCATTTCAGCACAATGGATATTGTGAAAGTAGAAGGCAAACTTTTTCAGTGCAGTCAGGAGCACCATGAGTGGGGCAGATTAGGATGATTACAAGGGTCCTGATAAGACTGGGACTCACAAAGATTGTACCTTTTTTACCTTTTTCCTGCATGTGATTTTTTAGTCTTACTGAAAAAGTGTTAATTAACGCACTCTCTTTGTTAAATAGTAATTAAAGACTGTTTTTAAAAACAGTGGCAATAGCAATGCATTTTGCATTTGGTAACCCATCTGTGAAGGCACCATTAATGCTGAATGATATATATATGTTTTGGCAACATATGCTGCCATCCAGACAACGTCTTTTTCAGGGAAGGCCTTGATCTGAAAATTGATTAGGTGGTTTAGCCCAGTCATGGTCTGTAAGAAGAACAAGAGTTTTGTTTTTTAATTCTAATGAAAGAAATCCACAGTTCAACATTTCTAGTTTTCGTGTTAATATGTGATGTTCTGATGTATACAAATTTAATTTGAAAGTAAAAGCGAAGGACTCTCTCCAGTCTCTCCTTTAATCATCCAGCCTGGGTAAAGTTCATGTTCTATTCTATAGTCAAAATCTTTTCATTCTAAAGTTTTGCTTCAGCAGCCAAGATGTAAGAATAAATTATTAAGCCACCCTTAAAGCACACTTTGTTTAAATCAGTGTTTTTCAGCCTCTAGGGGTCCTCGACTCGTGAGATGGTCATAGAGAAAGGTTTACTCTAATGTATATTTGTGAAGGCGTTTTCACATAAAATCCCCACTCCAGTGATATCCCACTGTCATTATAAGCCATAGAGAATGTGAGGAGTGAATGTGAAAGTCTGTGACTGAGGTGGGCGGCTGCAGTAGCTGTGCAGCAGCTTAGCCACACAGCTAAACTACCTTATAAACACAACAGGACTGTTAGCTTTCTGCGCTTCAAAGCTTCCACAGTCGGAGTGTTAGCTTGTCAGAAAAGTCTGCAATCTGAAGCAGATCACTCGGTTACCTCGCATGAGAATGTAGTTTTGCCCTTTAGCGTTTCCCAGTTCTCTATGAGGTAAATAATCCGCCTCATTCAAAAACCTGACAGGTGTTTGAAAGTATTACTATAGTATGTAAAACCCATACAATTCTAAATAAAGCCCAAATAAATAGCTGTTTTGTTTGTTTATGGCCATGAATCCCTTAGTTAGTCGTCGTTTGTGATAATGTAACTAGGATCCACACAGAGTTGGCTTTAAACATTCAGATGGATGTTTTCTTCATTCAGAATTTTTTTGACAGCCCTACCAGACAGCAAACACATCACTACATCATCTAAAACCTCTTTGAAACATCGTACAGAACTGGCTCACTCTAATCAAGCACTCCAAAACAGTTGAAAGCAGACCTTCTTTTAGAACTGGGTACTGTTTCGAGGAGTGATTTCTCCTGGGACAAAGTTTGGACCCCCCTTATTTTGTTTCATTACACTCACATCGTCTTTAACTTGAACTTTCTCCACAGGAACCCCTGGAGTTGATAGTCATCAGCTAATGTTAATCCAGGTCACAGCACCAGTGTGATTGCAACTGAAAGCTCTACCAGCTGCTGAACTGCAGCTTTTAAAAGAAGGCCTTCGTCTCCAATAGAGTAAAGCACAGGTTTCCAAGCCTTGTGCTGAAGACTTGGAACCCAAACCCCCTGCACATTTTAGTGTTATTATACCAACACAGACACTTCAACTGTGGAAGAAGTTGGATCAGATGTGGTCAGGAAACCCAACATTAATTGTTATTAGGGGTGCAAAGATTCAACTTAGTTGACTGAAATCGATGACCAAATTAGTTGGCAACTAATTTAATAGTTGATTAGTTGGTGATGTCCGTGTGTTTCTCACGCTCCCTAGGAATGTTTTGACATTGCCGCTTACTGGAGATTGACAAAAGCGTGTTGGCAGCCTTAAGAACAAAATCCTCAGAAGTGTTGGGAGCTAAACTTACAAAACAAACGTTGTCAGTTGTGCTATTTGGGTCATTCTACAGAAACGTCCATTTTTGTGTCCCTGGCGTTTACAGATATATTACACTTACATGTTGGGGTTGCAATTTATTTAGATTTTAAAACAAAACAATAAGTTATTTTAACAATTACATCTTCTTAAGCCTCAATTTATCAATATTGGTTTTTAAATCAATCATATAGAATTCCAAGCACCACAGAAGAGCTCGTCCCCACAGTCATGTGTGAAGACTGAGACCATATTTTGAGGTAAAAAACACATTTTTCTTCAATTTTGACTTCAATAATCTATACATGACTATGAAATATATGATTTAAATGACATAAAGAAAATAAATGCAAAATAAAGATTATATAATGAAAGTCACTGGTGTTACTGCGTAACAAAAAATCTCTTATTTTGAAATAAAAGTCACACTGATGACATCACTCGACTTCCTTTACCTGTTTTCTGAGGATCTATGAAGAAAAGCTCATGGTGAGTCCACTGTGTCTTTCAGTTATCAGAGATTTTCTCATTTAGCTCATGATTTCATATGAAGCTTTTAGCTGAAGTCACTGGTGTGACCGACTTTATTCTGAGGTAACTGTGAAAAAAAATAGAATACAAATGGATTAAATTCCATATTTTAGTGGATATTCCATGATTGACAACATGTGGTTTGATGCTCTGTAGCAGTTATTCTGTAAAATGCATTGTTCATTAAAATGTCTTTGGTGTTCCTTTATTATGTGGAACACCAATGAGGATCAGTAACACGAGTGACTCCTATTGACAGAAAAGTGGACGTTTCTGCAGAATGACCCTTTTGTAAAGCCGACCTCAGCTGGCAGGGGGGCCCATGCCCGTGTTGGAGCATCTGAAGAGGAAACATGTTGGCTCAGTGGATGAAGAAGATTCATCTTGGTATGACAGCTGTGTCAGCGAGCTAATGCTATCGTTAAAAGCCGTCTTACTTCATGTTATGAGCTTTAACATCTATTTTGATGTGCATGTTCTCTTGAATCGTTAATGCAGTTGGAACGACCGACCAAAATGACCCTGTTCACTTTCCAAATAACGTTTACAGTTTTAAAGGCTGTATTGTTTGTCTTAACATCGAGGCCACCGGTGCGTTTAAATTGGGTGAACACAGGAGATCCAAACAGTTTTCTGTTCTCTGCTAACGTTTGCCACCACTCGCAATCAGTTTCAGGAGGAGGTTCACCGTGAACACACAGGGCAGCTGGACGAAGGGTTACTGCTGAAATGAAATGCTTACACAAAATCATTCAAGTTTCACTGTTTAGAGAACAAGTTTGCCACAAACATTTCCCCTCCGCTCCATCAGAGCGCATCTTCTCTGCCGCAGGGAACATCTGCTCTTAGAGGAGAACGAGACTCTCACAAGAGCACAGAGAGATGCTGACTTTCCTCTGTTTCAGTAAAGACTGTGACTGTAGACTTTAGATGCCACAGAGTGAAGACAGACAGCAGAGCTCAGAGCTCAGAGCTCAGACAGCACTGTTTATATTTAAAACTTCAGATTGTTCAGATTGATTTTATTTACTAGATTAAAGGAAAACAAATGTAGTTATATTTTATTGCTGCTACTTTGCACGTCCTTGATTTTATTTATTTGGATGGGAAAAAGACTGAAGTTTTATTTATCTTTGGTATTAGCAGGAAAGTTCATTAAAACAGTGAATCTTTGTCTTCATTGTTGCTTAAATGCATTAAACAACCTCAAGCTAAATTAAAAAAATATATATCAGAGCAGAGAAAACACTAAAATATGCAGGAAGTGTCAGGAAGCAGTGGAGTAAAGTAACACCCTTATTTATTTTTAGGAATGGAGCTTTCTTTAGAGTTTCTCCTTCTGCATTAGCACTTCCTCATCTGCCTTTCTTTAAGCAAACTGGCCAACATGAGGCTTTTAAGAAGATTCTAATGGTATCCAGTGTAGATGTTACCAGCACCAATTTACACAAGTGTGAAAACATCCAGCACAAGCAGTCATTCGTAACTGTCCTGACGTCTTTCCTCTGAATACTCAGTACAAAGCATGTTTTGGACCCTTCTACTGTCGTCTTCAGTCATATGACCTCACACCCACCCCTCTTAACAGGCTGAAATCACACAACTCAGTAACAAACATGTCTCTACCAACTGCAGACAGTCACATCTGTGGCCAAGTTTTAGCCACATTAGCCATTTTGTTAAAAGGTATTCTTCCTCGAAAAAGTGACCTGACTCTTACCAATGACCTCTCCAATCATGAAGACCAGGCAGACTATGGAGGCAATGTAGAGCTTCTTCTTAGCCACCAGCTTCTCCCGGTTCTCCTCCCAGGCTGCTTTGTTTCCGTGGCAATGGGCTCCAACGGGCCTCTTCAGCTCAATGGCCCCAGCAGTGTCCCCGTTCTCAAAAGGCAGATTCGGGTAGCTTTCTTTGGAACCAGGAAATTCACTGCAGAAAAGGAGATGTGGTCAGTTTACTGCACATTTAGATGGGTCGAGCTGTTGTTTTGTTTATACACATCAGAAAATACTTGATTATTCAGGTATGTTAGATTTCATTTGATTCTCAGCGCAGCACTGCCACCAACATGGTCGTAGCATGTTAGCGTGTATTGCACTGGTATGAGTGTTTCAGGAACATCAGCGTTGCTGGAGTTTTTATGCACCATCAGTGTCGCTACCATAGATAACATATCTAGATGCTGAGTTGCCTGTTATTCTCTGAGGCGATACATCTGCGCGTCCGCCATGTTGGAGAGGTCAAGATCCACTTGTGAACAAATTCACTTGTACTGAGAGACGATGAGTCTCAGGATTAAATCAGCCACAACTTCCTTATTACTCAACCCATTTTCACCAAATCTGTTTAGTTATAATCCTCAGACACAGATTAATCCAGGCTGCACGGATCTGCTCTCGGCAGCTTTTATTACTTTAATAACTGATCGTGATAATTAGCCGTCCAGACCAGCAGGAAAGTATTCAGTCTGCACCTGACGTTAAAAACCGAGTTTAGCGTGAGAAACACGATCAGACACATCAGCAAATCCATCAATGTGTGAATCACCTCTAATCTTAATACACATAAAAATAAAATAAACCCCCAAAACACAGTTCCACCTTCAATACTGCAGCAGTCACTTTCTGGTGCCTGAAACTGAACCATTTAAGGTGGAACAGGAAAATTCGAACAAGAAAGCTGGCAAATAACTTCAGGCTCATGTAAGAAGGTTCTGACATTAATCTATTATGAGTATCTACATGGATTAAGAAATGCTATAACTTACCTACAAAGCTTTAACCATCACTGTAAATAAATAACTACTACATAAAGTTAAGATCCTGAATAGACTATTAAATGAAATAAGCTTAATATAAAACCAGAGGAAAAACAATCACATCAACAGGTTCTCTGTGCCTCATTAACCACACGGCCATATCTACACAAACATCACACAAACAATACGCATCACACAGACATGAGTGTGGATCACTGCGTTCCCTCCGTTATATAATCCTGTCCCCCTTTCTGAGTGTGATATTCCTGAAATAGTGTAATTTTGGACAGTATCTTTCTTAAACTGCCGCTTTGTAATGGTACTGAATGCAGTCCAGCAGCGATGTTGACCGCCCTAAAATGGCGGCGCCGTTGATGTGCCCGGCTGGACCCAACGCGGCATCTAGTATGTATATCTATGGTCACTACTGGGTTGATTATAGTTCATCCATCAAAAATATGCAGCCAACAGTGGTCCTGTGGTCAGAAACTGAACACTGATATGGAGCTAGAAGATAACTAATACAAATCATGCATGGAAAAAGAAGAGCTACTCTAAACCTACAAGGTACAGCACATGTGCAAAAGCCAGAGACCAGCCTTCATTTCTTTAATCTTTCCAGTCAAAATGTTACAAGTTATGATACAAAACAATGGGACAAAAAGGAAATAGACAAGAAAGAGGAAAATTTGCAGATTAAAGTGTAAAAAAAAGCTGCTGGCTTTCTCAGAGCAATGAACTGGACACCACAGAGCCCAGACCTCAACATCAGTGAACGTGTGTGGGATTAGTAAGTGAGTAAGTTTTATTTATAAAGTACTCTTAAAACAACTTGCATTGACCAAAGTGCTGTACATCAAACCAGCCCACACATAAACAACACAACAAGTAGGAAGTTAAAACATAAAAATAATAAGAAGTTACATAAAATAGGGAAGGAAAAGATGAATAAAAGAGGTAACAAAGAGTAAAAAGGAAATAAAAGAAAACTTAATGAAACACAGACTCACGTGTATAATTGCCACAGCCCCTCACTATTCAAATGCGAGTTTAAGTATGTTTTTAGTCTTGATTTAAAAACAGAGACTGAAGGTGCTTTGGCGAATAGTGGGAGGTAGAATGTTCCAGAGTCTTGGAGCACAGACTGCAAACGCACGACCACCTTTAAGCTTCAAACGAGCCCATATAGGAACAGCCAGCAGGTTCTGCTGCTTTCAGACATTCAACTAAACATTCAACTAAATATCTATTAAATGTAACTAAACTTGAAGTTGTGTGAAAAATTCTACTAAATCTGTCCCTCATCCTAAACCTAACCCCAACCCTAAACTCAAGGCAAAAGTTACACCCACTCCTAAACCTAATCTAAGCTTAATGTTGCTGATATTCAGCTGAGTATCACCAGGAAGTTTGTTAATAATATAAGTATCTGTAGATCATCTATAGGGGACCATCCGAATAAAGCGTGACCATAACCTGGCTGCTGCATTTTGGAACTCTAACAGTTCTGGAGGAGATGAATGCATGAACAACTTTCTCCAACTCCAACTCCAACAGACAAAAGACTTAAGCTTTGCAATGTTTCTGAGCTGGAAGAAGCTCCTCCTCACCACAGGGTTGATTTGTTCATCAAATCTGAGGTCCTTGACACGGATTACTCTGATTGTGAGAAGCAGGAAATGCAACCAACTTTTAAGGCTACATTTTTTTGAATTATGGAAAAATATTCTAGGTCAGTAATTGTAAACATAGAAGCGCACCTATATGGTGGTGTACCCTCCTAAAAAAAGACGGTTCTTTAAGGGGTCTTTGGTTCTGTATAGAACCATGAACACTCAAAGAACCCTTTGCACAATTGAAGGGTTCTTTGCACGATAGAAGAGTTCATCAGAATGTGTTGTAGATGGTTAGAACCTTTTCCAAAAGATAAGATCATTCTTTATTAGTCCCACAGTGGGGAAATTCTCAGTGCTCCAGCAGCAAAGGGAGAGCAGAGCACTGCAGAAAAGAGTAACAAGAAGAGAATTAACAAGCAAGTAATTAACCTTATTAATTACTTAGCCAGGTTTCACAGTTATGTAGACTATATAGACAAAATATATAATACTAAAAGTAAAAAATAAGGTAAAAATATAAACTCTATGCTTCACAAAAATTAAAACTTAATTAAAAGTGTTCTATATAGCACCCAAAAGGGTTCTTCTATTGTAATGATGTCAAGCTTGTAACAATAGCAAAACCCTTTTTGGTGCTACATAGAACTTCAAAAAGGTTCTATATAGAACCATCTACAGCACATTCTCCATCAATCTGAAGAACCCTTTCATGAGGCAAAGAACCCTTTAATCATGCAAATAGTTCTTTAAGTGCTCATAGTTCTATACAGAACCATTTTCTTTACTAAAGAACCCTTGTAGAACCATCTTTTTTAAGTGTGTACCTAAAAAAGGCCAGTGATATGAGAGTTGCACTTAATAAATGGGCAACAAAAATGGGCTCAGCTCTCTCCCACATATCAACACCAGCTGATATGACTGGGGCGAGTCGGTGACCATAAAACACAAAACTGATAGGCTGGACGTCTCGCTGCCCGTTCAGTTAGTCTTATCTAAAACACGCTGTGTGTTTCCATCCAGTAAAGCATATCACAGACATCTCTGACCCCAGAACAGTGCGTCACAAAGGTGGTCTCAAAGAGAAGCCCCTCACCAGACCATCCTCACGTCATGAGAGGAGACGCATCAGACCGAAATTCAGTCAGCGCCGTATCCGCTGACTGTGCGGTTCAGGCCTGCTGCCGGCCGCATGGGAGAGCTGTGATGGGAGAGACGCTCTGATGAAGCTAATGAGGTGGAAAAGCGCGAGCTCGGCGCAGAGCAGATAACCGCCTCTCGCTCTCACCGCCTGAAAGGAGGCGGCCGAGTGGAAAGCAGCGTCTGTTTAATCACCCCACAGGGACAGACGTGATCCATACACCAGCCCCCCCCCGACAGACACACATACACACGTTTGTTTTCATACAGTGTCAGGACGTGTAGTCACACATATATAAAAACACACGTATCTCCAAAATAGTAATTTTAGAGGAGAGGGCAAAAACCTTCTTTACTTTCAATGTAAGTTGATGGAAAGAGGCTTTATTCTAAGCAATTTTGGAGCATTTCTGGATTTCTGAAAGAACCACCTTTGGTTTACTTAAGCAGCGGTTCTCAAACCAAACCTCAGGCCCCCTCAAGGTGGTCCACACAGAGGGCATCATCTGAGGGTCCAGACGCCTGAAAGAACACTTCTTTACAGAACCTTTCTAGCAAGTAAGATGTGAAAGTCTGAAGAACCTTTTAAAATGTCAAGAAGCTCCACATAATGCAGAAGTACCTATTAAAGGTTTCTCCTGGAAGCATACGCTGCAGTGGAGAACCATTTAGGAGGCTTTATTTTTAAGAGTGTATGTATCTATATATGGGTCAGTTTCCAAAACATGGATAAAGCTTAGTCTTGAACTAAAGTGTAAACGGTTGATCACCATTAGCGCTTATTTTTAGACTTAATTTGAGTCTGGAAAACTGGCCTGTGTATAATAAAATGTTATATGGCTGCATGATATGGACAAAATATATAAAATATACAATATATACATATATAGAGGTGTGCAAAAACTATACAATACAAAATAGCACTGTGCAAATGTCTTAGACACCCGAGCACATTATTTAAAACCATTTATCTTGGCTATATTTTTGCTTGTGATGGGGCAGTTTTTGTGACATTTGTTAAACACTGATTATTCTATTAATATTATTTGTATTTGTGGTAATATAAATATTTTCCTGGGCAAATAAATGCTGAGTGTGCAGAAAAAAATAGTTTCTCCCATCAAATTAGGTGCCTTAGACTTTTGCACATTATATATTGTATATGTATCATTCTACTGAATTAGTTTTCAGTAGATCTCTTTAATCCTAAAGTATTAATTGAGTCAGTAAATATTTACAAAATCATCATTTATATCATTTATAGGTTACTGTCTATTGGGAGATGAATGTCCCAAACCTTAATAAGGACAATAAAACTTACATTTTTTGTAAAATGTATTTTATTTTTTTAAGACCATTCTGATTTCTTTTGAAATTAAAAGGTTTAGAGATATTGTGAGTTTAATTTGTAAATTAAA